CTATAAGCTTTCTCAGAACCCTCCTAAACAGTGGTAAGTAGTTTCTGGTTGTAAGTCAGTAAGTAAGCCGAGCGTCGCAAATGCCCAGCTCTTAACCCGAACATAGATGCCCACTGCCATCTTTCGTAGGCCCTCTAAGACTATACTGGGGCTTTTCAGTTCGACCCTGAGCAGCAGCTGAACGCACCACGTGAGGGCCAGTTGGACGGTCGAATGCGGCTGGTCGCACAAAAGGGGCTGCGATGATGAGAACGAGAGCAGGCTCCTCCCGGAGTAGCGGCAGCGGCTGCAGCAGCAGCTACACGTAACTACGGTACAGGCGAAACCTGTCGTACAACTCTGCACAGAAATCGTCAACGCCGAGGCGCAGGGGTTTTCACATTGTCTAGGACGTCTGGCTGTAGGGCTTGGGACTGCGACTTCTGTTCGTACGTGTTGAACCTGAGAAGGGCTCGCTTGCAAACATGTAGGCTATGTTAGTTTCATGGGGTAGACCCTTAGACTTGACGCGAATCCCAAGCCCCGAGCCCTCCAAGCCTTCCAAACCCGCCCGAAATCCTGATTACCTCTCCAAAGCCGGATCCTAAAGCCCTAAAGCATCCCAATCTCAAACGGCCATCGCAGAGCCGGGTTGGTTGTGAGCCAAGAAGGAGAGAAAGCCCCGCCCCGCCCCACAAACCCTGAAGCACTGAAGCTCGACTCGTCAGATCCCAAAGCGCTGTAAGCACCAATCCCTGGCCATAGATTCCGGGCAATTTTTTTGGAACCCTACACCCGGGAACCGTAAAGCCCCAATGAAGCCAAAGGGATTAACGCGCGAGCCCTCAAGCCCTGAAGGCCAAAACCCAAATCCCAAAACCCTGGTTACTAAACCCTGAAAACCTTCTATAAACTAATACCTAAACCCTTCTGGAACCCCATCCACATACATGTCATACATCTTTCGTACATAGAAGTTTGTATACCCACTACGTCACTACGTAGAACCCAACGTGGAAGCATAAATGGCCCGAGGCGCTCTAGCTGCCGCGCGCCTCTCGGCGCCCTACGGCGCCGCCATCGCCGATGCTCAGAGGCCCGTGAGCGAAGTTCCTGCACAGGTTGGCTACTGCCCCCGCTCTATTCATAATACACTTCTGTGTATACATATACACGCACACACACACATATTTGTATATATATATATATGTATATTTATATACACATGGGCCGCAGGTATATGTATATGTATAGATATACAAAAATGTAGAGCCCTTGAGATGACACCTACTACAGACTTTTACAGCAGCAGGGAACCCAGGGTTAGGGTTCAGTATTGAGGCTTGCGGGTTGAGGGGTGTAGGGTTTAGGGGTTCAGCGGTTGAAAGCAGGGGTCTAGACTAAAGGGTTCTCGTTTGGAAAGCTACCCATAGACAAGGCTCAAGGGTTCAGACTCCCTGTGCAGAAACATGAATATGGAAATATGTTTCTGTCGCTATGTCTGTTTATGTAGAAAACATAAATATTTGTTGTACATACATGCATACCTACGTACATACATATACACATCCATACGTACATGCATACATACATACATATACATATACATACCAATGCATGTATATGTGTATATGTACGCGCATATACACGTGTTGGCAGTCGAGACTAAGCTTAACTCAAGCCGATACCAGATCCCCACTACTCGTATGTTCCGCTGGTTGAACCCGTGCTGGTGGTACCCTAGAGCTCTCAAGTCCTAGAGCCTTAACCCTAATGTTCCACGGATCAAAAAAACTTGAAAGCTTTCTAAGCGCCCTACAGCTGCTGCAGACACAGAGCCCTAAACATAGTGCACAACGTCATGGCGCCCTGCGGTTTTTAGGGTTGTTTAAGTTTGTCATGGTTGTTTTTCTGTATGCAGTTACATATAGTCTACACAAAGAGGAAATCTCTCGATGAAACCATGCCAGTGCAAATAGCTTGGGAGAGGCGCTCAACACAGTATGGCGAGCATTTGGCGGGCTTCAGTGTTGCACCACCACATGGTTGCATTCTTACTGCTTCCAGCCTCGCATTGTCGCCTTTGATGAGCGCAACGAGCTGCAAGCGTTGGCAACACCATGCTGAGCTGTCTGCCTTGTTGGTTGGCCTCATCGCTTTGGGTTCAAGCACAGTAATTAGCCCTGTCTTTTCGCAACATGCCTGCCATCGCCAGAAATTCATCAGGGACCACGCCGTTGTGTTGTTTTGCTCTTCAGTGCTTCGCTGAGGCCGTGGCCGAGCGTTTGTGCGCAGATGCCCTTGCTCGGCACGATCGATCTCTCCCGCGTCATCACCTCTAGCCGCCCGCGACTTCGTTGTCAGTGTCGCTGGTGACATTGTTTCTGCTAATTACCATGCTCGGCACTCGTGGCTCTTTCTCGCGTCCCTTGCCCGTGCATTGTTGGTTGTTTTGCGGCGAAACAACGGCACAGCAACCTGTCAAGCCCACAGAAGACCCCAACCCGCACGAATGTGAAGAAGCCTTACATTTCAAAAATACGTATATGGTGTATTTTTGCCTCCACCCCTCTCCCGTGCCGGGCCCAAGCGTTTTGGCTTTCAGGTCCCTTTGTTTCTTTTGCACTGGGTTTCTCTTTACTCAGAACTTTAGTGCGTTATAATGCGTTTGTTTTTTCTGTATGCATACAGTCAAGTAATTCTTTGCATGAAAAAGCTTTCTACCAAATCCAGCTGCTGACCTCCCCATTGGTTAGCAGGGAGTGTGGGAATGACCATAAGCCCTTTGGATGGTCAGCAGTCGACACAAAACGCAATGCGTTGGCATTCTTGTGTTGTGATGTTTTCTGCGCGGCCGCGACCTCATCAGCTTCATCACTAAGGAGTCGACCATGTTGCATTCACGGGTTGCCTGCCGGTGTCGACTCCATTCCCACTTCCCGATTAAGACTTGTCGCCTTTAGGGACCGCGCTGGTTGAACAACATTTGCAAGTGATGATCTTGCCGCATCTTACAAATTCAATTTAATTGCACATCCCGGAAGACGTAATTCCCGGATTCTGCTCGCGGAAGAGCTCTCTGTTGACGGATCGGTTTCCTACGTGAACGCATGAAAATAAGCCCAAATAGGCTTCGACTTCGTTTGTCACGCCTGTGCTAGATTTCAGGGCAGCCGGTTAAAGCTGCCCCGGGAGCGTAGTCACGACCTTCGCGGGCCAGCATATTCCTTGGCGATCCACGTGCATACTTGAAGGGGTTGCTTGCTTTGCCAACGCGGGAGCACAGGACAGCCCACTGACGACGGCCAGGGACAGACAGATGGGTGGGCTTCAGCAAACTCCAACTGTCGGGGAAGCCTCAACAGTCGAATAGGGGGATGGGGGGGGGGGCATGCGAGTACCGGGCTTTAGCATAGTCCGTCGCTCTTCACAGGCGCGTGAAGTGCCGAAGCTCCCCTACCTGAGAAGCTTGCGCAAAGGACGTAAGGCCCGGCAGAGATTGAGCAAGTCTAGTGCCGCCGAGTCGGGCAGTTCTGCCACGCTCACCGGCATAAAGTTCGGCGCACTGGAATCTGGAGCCGCGTTCTTGTCATCTACGCCGAGCGGGCTGTCAAGGCCTGAGCTCAGGCAAACAACGAGGAGGGGACAAAGCGGTGAGGGGAGCGACAGTGAGATGGAATCTGATATGAACCCGTCTCTGCATCGATGTTGGGCACCATGTTGCCTGAGCAAGAACAACTTGAAGAGCTGCGAGACAGCGGCGTTCATGTTTTCGTTGAAGATCAGGCAAGTTGACAAGTGTTTTCGAGACATGATGCTGTTACTGTTTTGTGCTTCGGGCAGGCTTGGTGAACAGTGTTCGTTCTTGCACCGCGTCAGTCGTTTGAATGTTGTTTCTCATGTTACTTGCTCACAAGCCAAAATGGCCGTCGAGTCTTGTCCCCCGTGTGTGGGGTGTGCCCAGAGTCACAGGGCGTGCTGAGTGTGCACTTGTCGTGTTTGACCTTGCTCGCTTATTGCAATTGCAGTTGGGCGAAGCTTTCATGGATGCCTTCATGCAGGATGCGGGCCTGGAGACTCGGGGTGAGTTGGCGTTTTACTTCAACAGCAGGCAGGAGGCAGAGCAAGAGGCTGGGCCGGTTGTTGCCGCTGCTTGGGCAGCTGCTCGGGCGGAGTGCCGCCGAGGCTTGGCGGTGCAGGTGCGGGACCTGTACGAACGGCAACAATCCCAGACCTGCCCGTCGTTGCGACAGACCAGTAGCTTGCCTCCAGTCAAGGCAAAGGTGGACCAGCGAGGCAGGCCAGTGAGGATGCTTGGTGCTGGAAGCGCGACGCAGCAGAGCTCAGCTGCTCCTTTTTCAGAAAGCAATGCCAAGCACCGCCCTTTGCTAGTGGAGATTTTGCAGAAGGCCAGCAGGTTCGCCAGGCAGTTGCAAGGTGCTGAAGTCAGCCAAGGCATCCTGAATGCTATCGTTGATCCAGTACTGGTGTCAGCAGAGTAGGCGACGTTGCGCAAGGTGGCGCGCACATGGGTAGAGATCTGCGAGTGGGCAGGGCAGAAAGCAGTGTGTGTCGTAGACCAAACCGCTGTGCAAGTGGCACAGTTCGTCATGGATAGCCCAGCTGCCAGCCGCGTGTTGCCTGCTTTGTGTTTCATGCGCAAGCGTCTGCACCTAGCTATAGATCTTGATCTGGCTCTCGCGTTTCGTACTGCCAAGTCCGGAGCCTTGGGGCATGGTGCTAAGCAAGCCCCAGTCGCGCAACCGGCGATGCTGCTCTTGTTGGAACAACAGATTGCAATTGCCCACCGCAACAGCCATCCGGACTGGCTAGGATTATTTGCTACGTGGTGTCAAGCAACTGGCTGCGTGCGTTTCATGCATGTGCAACGTAGCAGACTCATCCAGTTAGACCAGCATACCATGCTGTTCGAGTGTGTGCGCAGCAAGCAAGGCCGTTTACGGGCAGGGTTTCTTTGGAGTTGCCCTAGATTTTGAATCACTGATTGCGACTTCGGCAGCATGTTCCTGGAAGCGTTGAGTAGGCAAGACAAGCCGGAGTTGATCAAGTGTGTAGGCTTTCGCGTCACCTCGGGTGAGGAGTTGAAGCCCCAGGCGGTGCGTAGCCAGGTGTGCCTGGCGATGTCGTCTCTCTTGCCACCGGCTGAGTCGCGTCGAGTTAGTTCGAAGTCCTGGCGCCAAATTCCAGTCACGCTATCATTGCTGGGAGGGTTGGATCCCACTGAAGTGTGTGCTATGGGGAACTGGTTGGAAAACCCACGCCGTGGCCAGAATGTGATGCCCTGGCGATATCATCGGGCAAAGCTTAAACAAGCGACTTTAATCAAGCATCAGCTCAGGTATGTCATGAAGGAGCTCCTTCTCGATCAGGCCTGTTCCTCGTGGGAGCACGCTGACAGCGAGTGCATCCGCTTGTCATTCCAGAGAGCACGCAAGGCTGTGGCTGCCGAGTTGGCAGAGGCTGTTGAGGTGGAGTATGCGTGGCGTCGTGGGTCGCATTGCATGACAGGCGAGCAAGCCTTCCGCCTCCGCCACTCCAGCTTGGCGCGTCTCCGTGTGAGCTCAGTTGAGCAGCCCGCTGCGTCCATGCGCCAGCAAAAGCGCAAGAGACAGCGAGAGGTGGTGCCAGCGCGTGCAGTGAGCGCAGGGAATGCTGCAATTGCTCCTGATCTGTCTCCCGTTAAGCCTGACCATCGAATATAGGTCCTAAACCCAGGCCCAAGCTAATCCTTGATAAACGGCCTTTGACCCAGCCTCTTGCCAGCCTTGCCCCGGCCGTGCTAGCTCCGGCACAGGGCGAAGAGCCTGTAATGACGCGTGAGTGCGACTCTGAGTCTCAAGAGTGTTTGTTTAAGCGCGTAGCCAAGAATCGCTGGGTTCGTCCAGGCCAGAGCTGTGATCCTGAGCCACCGACCGTCGTAGCCAGGTGGGACCCCAGCCGCTCCCTGCCGGTGGTCTTGTTAGGTGGTCCTCCTCTTCAGGCACAGGCTCAGCTGTTTCAGCGCCACGATGTCAAACTTGTCATCTCTTGCATCCGTGAGTCCACTGCGGACGAGCCACGGTATAGCCGAGTGTCCCATGGAGCGAGCCGCTGCACTGCTTAGGAAATCACTGCACGTGTGTGCACAGAACGATGATGCGGAACAGACCCAAGTTCCTCTTGCATTAGCACAGCAGGCGAGGAAGTGCTGCCGGGCCAGTTTAAAAGCAGCGTGCCGTATATGGGTTTGAACCGGTGCAAGCAAGACTGCTCGGTGTGGCTCACCAACATTTCCCTCCACCCTTTGACTCCCATTTGGTTTAGATTAAACTTTTATATAATTTTATATAGACGTTTTTAAGCACGTGAGCGTCTGCTTCAATTGCTCTGTTGAGGAATGCATACTATGTAGATCTATTCAATTCTATAAACCCAGGTAGGGTTTCGGGTTAGGTACACTGGACAACAGCCAAGTTCAGTCCGCCACTCCATGCCCAAAACCTCATCCTGCTGGAGGCTGCTCTTCGTGACAGATGCAGGCAACGGCAAGGCCTGGCTGGCGGGCAAGGCATCTGTAAAGTCCAACCCCCTAAACCCAAGCTATAAATTTAGATTGTCAGTGACGTCGAGCAATAGTTCCGATAATTTCTGCGATTGAAGCTCACCGGCAGGCTTGAGGTTTTTGCTGTTGAGTTTAGTTGGACGTGATAAAATATTACCCATATGATGCTAGAAGCTTCTCGTTTTTGTATTCTAAGCCCCCCCATGACCGAATAAAGCCCCAGAGAAGCACATTCAAACCCATGAAACATGTAATCTTCTGCACACACTGACGGACTTTCTGCCCCTTTCAGCAACCGTAGCCCTTTTGCAATCCCGGTGAATGCGGACAAAGCCCAAACATGCACGAACAGTTTTGGTCAGCTCCAGATCCCTTTCATATGCGTTACTGAAGAGGCTTAGCTGAGGTCCAGATCCGTTAAGCATCCTTTTTGTAGAGAGAATCTTAAAAACAGCTCGGGGCCCCTAAAATCTTAAACCCTGACGCTTAGCCCTTGCCTAAAACCTAAAACCTCTTTTGCCTTTAAGTCAGGTCCGGGTCCTCGACCTCGCCGCGGGCCTTGTCTCCACTGTGGCCACAGGCTTCCTTGAGCCGAAGGCGGCAAACTTGATGTCGTTTTTTGCCGGGGGAGGAGTTTAAGTTTTAGGGTGCAAGGCGGTTTTTGCTTTAGAGTTTCTTTACGGGCACCAGCGAATTTGAAAGGATTCTTGGTCGGGTGTAGAGGGTTGCTTGTAGGGTTGTGGAAATGTTGTTTTTTTGGGTTTGCTGCGAGTTGCATCGCCTTTGTATGGGGTTGCTGTAAGGTTTTACAAGTACCCATTGATGGTTTGTCTGGAGCCGAGATCACAGAGAGAAGAAGGGCATGGGTCCAGAGTAGCGCTTCAGGGTTCAAGGTGCGGTTTAGGGTCTCGGCTTCAGATCCAGGGTTCGAGGTTTACTGTGGGGAGAACTTGAAAACTGTAGAGGGTGAGGGGTAGACTTGGTGAAATTTGTGTCGCCATGCAATTCCCGTACCCAGAGAATACATCTTAAAATATAGAGAGATCCGGATGATGGATGATTGGAGGTATATCCCTCGGTCCATGGGGTTTTGGAGTTTCAGAGGATCCATGAGTAGTAGCTCAGAAGCTTCAATGTGGGATTTGTGGGAATTCGGGCCTGCATTCGACACAAATCTTTAAACCAAACTTCCAGACTCCCAGTCCTGCACCCCCCAGATCCTGAAGCCCTAAACTTAAACCCTCAACCAATCCAGAGATCCAGAAGCCTTCGATCTCTCAGCCGCCACATCTCTCGACCCTAGAATGTCCTGGAGTCAGCCAGCCCCTCCAAAATCTTACGAGTTCACGCTGCTGACGCACGTCGGACCTCACGGTGTAGGTTTTGGGGTATAGAGGCTATGTCTAGGACCGGAAGAATGCTCAATACCCATCGCTCAAGGCCATCAAGCTCCCTTCTCTGGCCGACCGAGTTTACGATTATTTAGGAAGGTACCATAACGGAGATGTCAGGCCGATAGGATTGCTACGAGCAATTTGTTGTTATCTGTTCTTAGTTATCCAGAAACAGCACTTTTAAGGTACCAGTACTAATCCCCAACAATAATTCTTAAGCTTCAGGGGGTGCTCGTCACTGCTGATGCCGCAATGCCCGAGGCGCAACTTGCAGACGCGAGGGCAGGTTTTCTTAAAACACACGGGACGCAGTCTGCAAGTAGCTGGAGTGGGTATGAGTATCTATGCAGGTATGCGCTTATGTGTGTGTGTGTATGTATGTATGTATGTATGTCTCAACATATGTACGTATGTATGTACGTATGTATGTTAGTAATTATGCATGCATGCGTGCATGCATGTATGTATGAATGTATGTATGTGTGTACAGCTTATTCGTGTATTGTTTCCGTATGCATGTAATGTATACACACATAATAGTTTCATCCATGAATACATACATACATACGTACATACATACGTATAGTCCTGTTTACCTGCATACCTACATACCTGCGTGCCGGCATACCCACGAACCTACGTACATGCATACCTACATACCTACGTACATACATACATACATGCAGACATACATACATGCATGCGCTCATGCATGCCGACATACAGGCATACATACATACATACGTATGTACATACATACATCCATGCACACATACGTACATACTTACATACATACATACATACGTACATACATACATACATACATACATACATACATTAACAATCATATGTAAACTGTTACATCGACTGTTCTGCGTTGGTCTGCATCGCCTTGTGGCACCAAATTCTAGGTTCCTCCAAGCACGCGAGGCGCTTTAGCCTTGATTGACCGAGGTTCTCGTGGCAGACGCGGCGGGCAGTCACGTGCTGAGGTGCACCATCGCGGCCTAAACAATTAGAAGAGGGCTTTAAGGGTCTATGGTGGAGTATAGACACATAGGGACTGTAAGGGGCATTCTGAGAACGAAGCTCTCTTGGTGTTCAGGAGGGTTTTCTGTCGAAATGCGCTAGTCCATGATTCTTCACCATTAAACCCGAAACACCCCATGACGAAGTAGAATGCAGGTCATCAAACCCCTAAACCCTACACTTAAAAAAGACATCGAAGTTCGAAGCCTGGGAGGATCCCTCTCCCTGGCGACCTGCTGGCCGCTGCAGGGGCCTACCCTTGGCCGTCGGGATGGACCCCACCGCTGGTGCCGGGCTTGGGTGCGAACACAACCTATACATAAGGTTAAGGGTTCACGGTTTAGAGCCTTAACCTAACAGGGTTTAGAGTTTCGGATGTTTGGAGATCAGGCTTTAAACTCTAAAAATCTTTACAGAGTTTGGGTTAGGGGTTTGGGGTTGGGGGTTGACGGATGTGATGATGGGAGAGCTTGGACCAAGTCGGGGCGTTGCTACGGCTTGAGCTGTTGTCAGCAGGCATTGCAGCCTTACACCCCAACCCATGTCTTCAGGTACGGAATAAGATTTCACACATTCCATAAGTTGGGGTCGACTTCTACGGATCCCGACTACAATGAAATGCGTCCTGAATAGCTACCCAGAGAATGCCCTGAGAGTGCTGATAGTCTCCAATATTCATATCTTTAGATACCCTCAAAGGCTATTCCAAGTGTCAAGGCCCCCATATGTTTTAGGAAATACTGCTCATCAAGGGGGTCCCCGTCAGAAAGAAACGACAGTTGTTCCGTAACGAAAGGGTTTTCAAGTCTCTGAGGGGCATGGATTGGAGAATTCGGGTTCACATAGGGACATAGCCCAGATGCTTGAGTCTAGGGGGTTAGATTGGGGGGCACGGCGGAAGTCGGGCTCAGAGTTCGGGGTTGAGGGTTTGGGTCTAAGTTGATGGCTGAAAGCCCAGGTTAAACCCTTCTGAAGCCTTGCAAGGGGCCAGCCTCTTAAGCTCCCGGAACTTAAATCCCGAGCCCTCAACCTTAAGTCCTAAAGCCCAAGCCCACTTTCTCGTCTCTTCCCAGGCATCGACCCTCGATGCCGTGCCCGGCAGCGTTGGTCTTAGCCGCCCCTCCTGGTTAGGCCAGGTTGGGATGTCGTGTTTTGTATAGTATTTAGGAGGGTTCGTTTCTACGTGGGTGCGATAGAGCTTTCGGTTCGCCATATCCTCCTGAAAGTTGCTTCGGCGATGTGAGCGATGCCACAACAACGGATCGCTAAGCCCACACAGCCTTAAGAACACCTTGTAGAACCGTTACCCGAACCTCACCTAGGGACCGAATGAGCCCTCAAATAAGCCCTAGAAGAGTTCCGACACCCTACAACGATTCTAGATCCTTCCAGTGGTCGAACGCTAAGCCAGGTCTTCGCACGGCCACCGGCGACATCTTTGTCGTGGAGGTACTCACTTAAAGCAGGATTTCGGCTAAGGTTTTCGTGCGTGTAGACGTGGCTGCTTAGGAATACTGGTATGATTGGGTATGCTGTGCAAAAAAGCCTCTAAGCCCTTTATTGCCTTATGGTGGTTTCCGAAAATGGGGGACCCTAATGTAGTACCGCAAATAGTAGGATCCTTATTATAAGGACCCCTAAATAAGGTAGCCCTATTTTTGGAAACTCCATTCCCTGAGACTCGGAGGCCTCCGGCGCGATGGCCGTGCATGCCTTGTCTCTGAACGGCACATCCAGGCCCGGCCTCCTTGGTAGTGGGAGGGCTTGGGGGTTTCGTGTTGAGGGGTTGAGAAGTTTTGGGTTTGCCGGTTCTGTGGGACCAACACTGTGTAGCAACACAGAGCTCCCTTGCGGTTCACCTGTTCGTGTCTTGGTGTTTGAAGCTTCGGTTCATGCGCAAGTCAACATCATGACTAGCAAGTGCTTTATGTTGAGGCTTTTTACTAGCGTTCTCGTGGCTATCGTAATTTCGGTGGGGATCTCAAGTAGCACGGGCAGGGTGTGGCCCTGCAGTCGGGCTTTGTGGCCACCAGATGTTTTGCGATCTCATGACGTTTGAAAACCTTACAATAAAGGCCATGGGACTAAGCAACTCGCTAGGCCTTTCGGGGATTTCATAGGTTTGATATTGACAAAGCGAGGCAAAGCAGTGCTTCTCCTTGGACTGGGGCAGAAGAACCCTAAAACGCAACGCATTAAACTGCTGTCAGTATTTCACTCCCAAGCCCTACAACCCCAAACCTTCAGAATACCTGCATTCCTAAATCCGAGAACCTTACTGAAGAACTCGACGCGAAACACACTTACAGTGCGTTCCAGGGTCCTTAGTCCTCAGTCGTTACCAAGAGGTTCGGGGCACTTCGGCCGCAACTTACGACTGGCTCATGGCTCGGCTGTAGGCAGGTTGTCGGCACCCAACCTCGAAGTAAGTGTGCCGTGATGCAGATCCCTGTGCAGTACTCCTGTCCATAAGGAAGGCTGTATGAATATGATATACCTCTTAGCTGTAAGGAAGCAGGTGTATTAATCAAGGGTGTCCTTTCATGAGAACATGCTTGGGCCTGCTTAGTATGATTTCCTGCTATAGTCGCTATAACTATAATAACGCGGGCTGAGCTATAAATATCTCCCGTCGTCGTCCCTATATACCCTCATCCCCAGTCTGGTCGGTAAGGCCCCACCCTGTAGTTGCTCAAGAAATGGTCAATTGTTTTCAGTGTAATATATTCGGCGTCCTGGGCGGCTATACACTGAAGGTGTGCCCTACATCTACTCGTACAAGAAGACCTCTCTCCCCTATTGTCCAGGGTTCTCTTAACGGCCGGACCTTTCACTGGAGCCTTGGCGAACGACAGCAAGGTTGATGGATTCAGGTTTTTCTAGTTTCAGCAGGAAGGCTGAAAGGTTGAAGGCATATCATACCTTGCTTCATCAACATCACCATCTCCTGTCACATCATACCATGTCATATCATGCATCGTTTTCAGTCATATCATATATGAGTCGCAAAGCATGCCTTCACAATCAACGTCCTGCGACCCTACCGTCATAAGCACCGCCATCTTCACTATCATCAGCTTCAGTCCTTGGTATCATCCACATCGCCATCGCCGTTATCACCTGTCAGTATTAATGTCATAGCAGTAGAAATCGTAATCGTGATCGTCGCCGCAATCGTCATCCTCGCAGCCGTAGCCGTCGCCGCCGTTGTGCTCGCGTTCGTCGTCGTAGTAGTCGTAGTCGTAGTCGTAGTCGTAGTCGTAGTCGTAGTCGTAGTCGTAGTAGTAGTAGTAGTGGTAGTGGTAGTGGTAGTGGTAGTGGTAGTGGTAGTGGTAGTGGTAGTGGTAGTGGTAGTAGTAGTAGTAGTAGTAGTATAGTCGTAGTAGTAGTAGTAGTAGTAGTAGTAGTAGTAGTAGTAGTAGTAGTAGTAGTAGTAGTAGTAGTAGTAGTAGTAGTAGTAGTAGTAGTAGTAGTAGTAGTAGTAGTAGTAGTAGTAGTAGTAGTAGTAGTAGTAGTAGTAGTAGTAGTAGTAGTAGTAGTAGTAGTAGTAGTAGTAGTAGTAGTAGTAGTAGTAGTAGTAGTAGTAGTAGTAGTAGTAGTAGTAGTAGTAGTAGTAGTAGTAGTAGTAGTAGTAGTAGTAGTAGTAGTAGTAGTAGTAGTAGTAGTAGTAGTAGTAGTAGTAGTAGTAGTAGTAGTAGTAGTAGTAGTAGTAGTAGTAGTAGTAGTAGTAGTAGTAGTAGTAGTAGTAGTAGTAGTAGTAGTAGTAGTAGTAGTAGTAGTACCAGTATCAGTGGTAGTAGTAGTCTTCGTCGTCGTGTTAGTCCAAAACCTATCAATACTAACAAGCCGCTTACCCCGAAGCGTCAACGACAGGATTTCACGATGTGGTTCTTATTATAGGGGTTTGTAATTTCAGACCCCTTGTCAGTACATAGGAAGTTTGTGTGTGTGTGTGTGTCTGTGTTACAGTATGGTTATATTCGGACAACCGTCTGATAACGTATGAAATATTATAAACTCTCTCCACTATGTACTCTCTCTCTCTCTCTCTCTCACTCTCTCTCTCTCTCTCCTTTTTTCTTTTCTCTCTCTCTCTCTCTCTCTCTCCTTCTGGCTGTCTCATGCGGGTTTTGGCTATGCCGGTCACTCGAAGCAAAAATGTTAGAGCCCAAGCCCGAAAACTTTGACACCCTGGGACTCTAGAGTAGTACCGTCATTCCCGAAGGTTGTCTGAATGTGGTAGCATCTGATTCACGTCAGTACAGGAGCAGCCATAATCGCAACCATGAGTAGAGCAGCAAGCAGGTGTAGTAGTAGCAGTCGTCGTCGTCGTCGTCGTGGTAGCCGTAGCAGTAGCCGTAGTCGTAGTCGTGGCAGTGATGATCACAATAAGAAAGTTATAATGACGGTGGCGACGACATGATGAGACCTTGCTAGTGATGATTAGCTTAGGCGCAAAAGCCACACGAACACTCCACAAACCTATGGTTAGTGTGTTTGGGTTTTCCGTTATAAACGAGCCTGAGTCCAGGAGTCACACCAGCAGTAAGACTGTTGACAAAAATGAGAACCATGATTACTCATCAAATACTCGTCGGAGCACGAAGACCATGGCCGCAAGCAACCCTTAGCAATTACAAACGTATTCACCATGCTGTTAAGAACAACCATGATGCTAGAAAGACCACGAGTAACAACATTTCCCTAGCCTAAGCTATGAACCTTACGTAACTCTTTCACCTAAACTCCTAAACTCTGCAGGCCCTCAAACACCCTGCGCAGAGGACTGTTGCCTCAGCCCCGGTCGGCGGCTGCAGTGGCCAGCGCGGGCGCAGTGGCTGTGGATGAGTTTGCTTCTTGCAGCAACATATGCTAGGTTGCTGGGTAGTTATGGGTCCTGCGGGGTTTAGAGAGGGTTTCATAGAAAGTAATCAGCCCACTTTGAAGGCCAGTGGGCTTCTAACGTTTATCTTGGCTGTCCTTTGGTTGGGCATTTCCACAGTTAACCCAAACGCAGAGAACTGCCCTTGAAATTCCCTGACCCGAAATCCTTGAGCTTGCCATATGGAAGATCACAGGCGGGTTCACATGCGTTGAGGGTTTATGGTTGTAGGCTGATGATTTAGGAAATTTCGGGTGTTGAAGACTTTGGGTTTGGAGGGAAGTGCTTTGGGGTTAGTTGTTTTGCTGGGTTGGGGGTCTTGGGTTCAGGGTCGTAGCGGCGAGGGTTTAATTAAGGGTTGTCACGGTATGCCTCACCCCAAGAGCCTTTCGCTTTCAGCAAAACATAGGATTACCCCCAAACAGTCCGCAGCAATTATAGTATCATGGTATTCCTCAGGATTCCCTCCCAGGCTTGAATGCTGCTTGAAACAAGAACCTCGGTCTAACTATTCAGGCCTCCATAGTAGCACACTCAGGCCGGCACGCCCTTGCTGCTGGTCGCAGACCGCGTGGCGCATCGGCTTCTCGCGGCGGAACTGATGCGCTCCGGCTTCTTGGGCCTTGTTATGCTTCGTTCAGTGTTTATGAAGAGTCTTGGGTTTGGTTGGGGCCGGGGCTTCACAGTTTCGCGCTCATGGTTATGAGTTTGTAGAACACAAGTTGAGAGAGATTGACACGTTCATGTCCAGGAGCACATTGCGAAGTTGCCCCAGTGCATGTGCAAATTGCCGAGAGTTGCTGTGTTTGGGGGCACCACCGTGACCTTAAAGCATAAATCCGAAAACCCCAAACCCGGAAGTTTTGGCATGCTTGTTTGTGTTTCAAGGTCGCGTTTCGCTCTACAGTTTTTCAGAATCTTCGATTTTTAGAGGTGGCGCTGCATTGCTATGGCCTTTCAATTTAATTTGAAGCTTAGATAAAATGTTTTCCAGCGGATGCAGAAGGCGGGCTGCCGTAGTTTAGCTTGGCAGCCGAGTAGGGATCCAAATATTCTCGAGGTGTGCTTATATATATATATATATATATATATATATATATATATATATAGATGTGCATATATATATATACAGATATATACATACACATATCTACCTACCGACCCACCTGCCTGTCTGCTTACGTACCTAGCTAGCTAGCTGGCTATCTCTCTTGGGTTCTACAATCGTTTCTGCAAATGGGTTCAGTTATAGGGTCTGGATACCGAGTTCTTTTTCGGACTTCTCGCATATATGCATTCTATAGGCTTTAACCATGGTTGCGGTTCAGGGCGCTTAGGTCTCCCTCTTTGCTTTGCTTTGCTCGGGGCTCGGAGCGAAAGCAGTCCTCCCGCCCCGCACGGGCGCTCTCTCTCTCTCTCTCTCTCTCTCTCCCCCTCTCGCTCTGAGAATGAGAGAGACAGAGAGAGAGAGGGAGAGAGAGAGGGAGAAGGAGCCCTATTCTCATATGCCCTTTAGCTTTAGAGAAAAAGTCGCCTGCAACATCCTGACAATGCCCAAACTTGCCAGCCTCTTGGTGGTGGGACCACAGAATGCTCAGGCCCTGTAGTTGGGTGCAGTTGACTCTGAAATTTCAAGGCCGGAGCTGCTCGGAGCTTGGCTGGGCATCCGAGCGGCATGGTTCCGCACGCTTCCGGGCTGCACCCAAGTGATTTGGATTTCGGACTTAAGGTTTGGGGTTGAGGGTTTAGGGTTTGGGGTTTGGGGTTTGGGTTTAGGGTTAGGTTTAGGGCTTTTCGTGAACCCTCTGTGCTAGCTTAGAGTAAAAGGTGCCCTGTGCATTTGGTGGGGCACAGTCGAGGTTGTTGATAGAAGAGTGTATGAGGTTCCTACATGCCTTTACAGTGCTTCTTATTGCAGGGCTGTTCTGGGACCGTGAACACAAGGGTTTATGGTCCATATTCCATGCAGTGTCAGTCGTATGGGATACAGCTCCATGCTGCTTGTAAGAGTCATACGGTCCTTCTCTCTGCTTCCGAGGCTTTCAGTTTGGCGTGTGGGGGGCTGGATCCTGAGGCTTTCGAAAATTTAGGACTCCAAAAGCGCTGTCGAACAACATCATGGGACAACCAGCATCGAAACCACACCCAAAACACACACGCTACTCGTACAAAACAACACCAGAAAGGAGTGTAACAACGCAGGATAAGAACAAAATCAATGGGTTTCGGAAACCCTCAGGCGTCTGCGGCCGCAGTGCCGGGGACCCGCTGCTTCTGGGCTCCAGGTGCTATACACCGTTTTCGAAGGTTTCCTGAAGGCTTGTAAGGCGTTGTTTGAAGGCTTGGGTTTTTGTCTTCAGGCGTTGTGCTGAAGGATTCCGGAATATATGCTCTATAGTAGGGCGAGGTTTTTTCTGGGGGTCCTTGAGTGCTTCCTGAACCGGCTTCTTAGTAAAGGGTTTCAAGGCGTTTGTTTGAGGGTTCGATGAGGGTGCCTCACGAGTTCTACAACGGGCTTGAAGGCGGCTGTCGAGGTTGGCTCCCTATACATAAGGCTTGGTAGGTCACGCCCTCGGACCACGGAAAGAATCGCGAGCCCTAGGGGCAACGGCTACATCCTCGAGATCCAAGCACAGCTTGCGGAGCCACCGCCGCCTCCGCAGGATTGGCATCCTCCGTCGAAGTGGACGCGGCCGATGACGATAAGATGAAGGAAGTCTTCTGCAAGCCTCGCGCTTTTACCGGTGTTCAAGAAACACATGTCGTCGATGTGGTGTCGGTTGAATAAAATTTAGGGTTTAGATTCGGGGTATGAAGGTTTTTTGTTGTCGACACCCCCCGAGTAGTAAATGGTAGTAAGGCCCCTTTCCTCAAAGGCAGTACTACCAGGATCCCCATTCAGATGTATTCTTATCCTCCGAGGGGGGCTTTTAAGCTTAACCCCAAAGCCCTTTCCATCAGAGGTCAGTGCCTCGGGCTTGCTGATCGAGGGGTCCCGAGCCCTACATTGCAAACCTCACCCCTTTGGGTTCCTCGGTTCGTGCATTTGTGGCCTCATCAGGATTTTGGGGCCTTTAGGGTTCAGGTTCTGTCCAGTTCCACAGTTTGGACTGTTGAACCTGATGCTTCGACACTGAGCCGTGTATCTCTGGCTGCAGCTTAGACTTACGGTGTTGTGATGAAGGGTTGGCGCTGTTCTTCTTCTGCGTGCCATCGTGACTGCTGCCGAGCCCTAGATCCTCAGTCTTGGAGATACCCCTTTCCCAAATTTCCACATGCCAAGTCCTACGCCACGAAGTGAATCCACCTTCGAGCAACCCTTCATGGACTGCTCAAACTTAAGATTCTCTCAGTGGTGCCTGTTGGAAAAGCCACTGTATACAAGAACGTCGTCGTCCCTGGGTAGGTGCAATTTCATCTATTCCGCCGGCGTTTGCTGCTCTGGAGACTTGGGTAGTGAGCTAGGGTCTGCAGGGGTGGGGTCCAGTACAGGGGCTTGAATAATTAGACATAGCACTCCTTAATGTTGTCTTATACGTTCGTAGTATCGGTTAACATAGCTGTTCAGGAGTCTTTTTCGGGACTGGTGCAAAGTGCCGGGCTTGCCTCCGGAAGTTTAGAGTTGAGGGATGGTTTCTGCATGGTGTTCTTGTCTATCTTACTTTTGTGAAGGGCTGTATAACTCAAACAGTTTACATTTCTTCATCTTCTGGACGTCGCGACGTTCAGTCAACCTTTGCCCTGTACGGTGGGGAGCAGGTATCGTCCTGAAAGATTGGCAATAGTACCCTCAAAGCCCTTATCTCAGTATGGTTCTAACATGTGCTATGCCGGCCCGATCAATCTCTAGCTCCTACGGGTCTACACGAATAGCAGTATTTGCTTAAGCTTTGGTTGTAATTAAGCAAGTATCCTGGCGGTCGTAAGTGTCAGAATCCTAAAACCCAAAAACCCCTTAAAATCCCCACATCCGACATCCCTGAAAACCCAAACACCTGAACACGAAACCCTAGAACCCGAACCCCCCTGTGCCCTTGCAGCCCTAAACCTTCCAGCCGAATCCCTGCACAGGAGAGGTTGATTTCGCAGCGGCAGAGGAGTTCTGTACTCTGCAAGGCGCCGTGTTACGATTTCGGCACCTCTAATCAGAAGCCGAATAACCTCAGATGTCGGATTCAAAGTTTTGTGTAGGCGATCCTTGTCCTTTTCAGGCTCATATAACCCTACCAGATGTAAGTAAGTGTTGGCCCAGAAAACTAAGTACCTCGTTCCGTTCCCTAATTTTCCAATTCACACTTTAAACCAGGATCTGGCAGACTAACATAGGGGAATTGATAATTACCAGCACTATTTCGCGGTTTTCTGATGATGATTACAGGAAAATGGGCCCCAAAACCCTTATTATAAGTATCGCATAATAGGCCCCAAAACCTTTCTTCTAATTATAGCATAATGGGCCCCAAAAAACCCTATTCTAATTACTAAGACCCCTGAATTAACTTTGGATCATGGGGCTCTGCAGGTCCATCATACTTATTGCCATTTCTTGTGTCTTGCTTACTAGTTCCGCCGGGCCCTTTATCCCGAAACCATTGCAGCCTGCGTTGACGCTACAAGGATCGATTTTTGCTTTGGGGGTGTGGGGGCTTTGGTCGTTTTGGTTCGGGGCTTGGGCGTCTTGAGAGGATTTCGGCTAAAGGGATTAGGATTAAGGTTTAATTAGTTCGGATGTAGGATTTAGGATTTGCTTGTAACCTCAAAGACCTACACGCGTGAGGTTCCTGGAAATGACACCCTTGCCTGGCTATTCAGCATAATCGTTTTAATCCCCGAGCGAAAGTAGGTCATGGTGAAGAGTTCAGCCCCTTGGGTGGACGGGGCTGTCATGGCTCTTCTCAATGTGGTTGTCTCGCAGAATAGGCTGTCTCGCAGAGCACCCTCCGAAAAACTAGGTTTGCGCAATCTTCTGCTTGATTTGGTAGCCTGAGTGTGCGTGTATACCAGTACATGTATATGTAGGATGTACACGCACATATAGCCGAGTCACATCTTGCGTCAGGGCTCACTGGCGCTTAGATGCGGCTCCATACCTTACTCTGTCAACCCCATATGGGAGTTTCCGAAAAATAGGGGTGCCTTATTTTGGAGTCCCTATAATAAAGATCCTACTATTTGGGGTACTATAGTTGGGTCCCCTATGTTCGGAAACTCCCGTATGGGATATGAATCAAAAACGGGGTGCATTTGGTCCTGAAAGATCCTTTAGCTTTAGCCTCTAACGTACAATGTTGACATCACTGGACAACCCCAAAGCAAGATGGACAACAGGTTTTGGGGTCTGGGGTGTTTAGACCAAACAGAAAATGGCAAACGGAAAAGTGTTGAGCACACGGCGGCCTAAACTAATGTGCACCCATACAAAGCCATATGATATGGAGGTTCTGCTACTCCGCAATGGTATCTCCTTATCGTTTCTCTATACCTCGACCATAGTATCCCGCTCTGATCCTGGAGGCCCCTAGATAAAACCATATCAAACCTCACCAAGCCTGTAGAGCCATATGAGCTCCTCCTCTAAGAAGTTTCACCAACCCTCAGACTTCGCCGACTAATGGGGTCAGGCGCTCGGCTGTGCACAGCGTCAGAGCTCTTTGATGACGAGGCTGGTGGTGAGGTTGAGATTCTCCTAAAGGCAGCTTCCGTTGAGGATTATACAGGGTTGGTTTGGATGCATATATAATATGACATATATGTAATCGGGCTTGATGCATGTGCATATACATATCTGATATATATATATATACATCATATATACATATACACAGGTATACATATAGGGAAAACATCAGGTACAACTATAGCCATGGCTATAATAATCCAGGTCAGTAGAATATGGCGTACAAACCATAGGTTATAGGTTATAGGTGCCAGATCATGGATACAGATGCAGATGCAGTTAAAAGTTAAAGGTTTAGGTCAGATAGGCATAGGTATAGATATGAGTGTAAGTATATTGGTACACAGGTATGCAGTTATACAGAGATAGATAGATAGATCAGATTTTGCATTTTTATGCAGAGATTTAGCTACATAGGGATAAAGATCTTCAGGTGTACGGGTATACAGGTTTTCAGATCTATGGGTTAAGAGGTATGGAGATATGGAGACATAAAAGATGTGCACACATGGGTATATCTGTATATGTATATGTAGTTTTAGACGTATGCATACATAAATACATATATACAATATATATATATATATATATGTATGTTTATATATATTTATATAGACATATATACGTTTGTATAGGCAGAGAGATAGATCGATAGAGAGATAGGTAGATAGAGAGAGAGAGAGAGAGAGAGAGAGAGAGAGAGAGAGAGAGAGAGAGAGCCAGAACATTGAGCCCCTGATTTGGCAGGATTTTTGCCTCGGGCGTTCTTTCTGCTTGCCACGGGTGTTGGGCGTGTCTATCGACTTCAAGGAGATTTTGACGAGGTGTAGGACATCTACGCTTACAGCCTAGCAAGTGTACAGCTGCCATCGGTTGTGCTTGAGGGAGCTATACTTATCGAGGGTATGTTATTGTACAAAAGGTGCTTCTTAAAAACACGAAGCCCCCCCACCACCTCCCCTTTGTAGTTTGCAGAAACACGCGAGTCTCGGTGGCAGGCAAGAGACGACCCAGACGAGCCGCAGCGAGCTCAGAAGGGATTTGGTCGTGGACTCTCTGGTTTGATTGGGGTTTGGGTTTTACGGTTGGGGTTTTCGTGTTCCTCCGCTCGGCTGGGCTGTGCTCGATTTTAGGATTCCTCCTTTGGGTCCAAGAAGAGTCGGCGCCTCTAAGAAGAAGGCCTTTAGGGGAAACTGGTATTACAGAACCCTTCATGTGTCTTTTGTTGCGTGTTTGTCTGTGTCTCTCGCTCTCTCTCTCCGTCACATTCAGTATAGCATGTATGTGTACTGTATGGATATATGATAGTATGTATGTATACAGAGAGAGAGAGAGAGAGAGAGAGAGAGAGGGCAGAGGGCTTAAGGAGTTCCTAGCAGAAAAGATGATGCTGCGTGACCTGTTCCTTCAGCAGCATTCCCGAAGCAATCGGCATAGAGTCATAGAGTAGGTTTCATCGTAGTGTAGATGGGGCTCTTGAAAGATATTGGTGAATATTTTTTGAACTGAAGCTTTAATATTGGGGTACAACGATTAGAAGCCATATATGATGTATAGCTTTGTCTAGTCGTCGAGGGCTCTGGCGACAACAGGAAGTCCTCAAACCCTTGAGTCCCGGACCCTACACAACATGTTTTTATGAATTGAACAAAACTCGGTTCAAGCCTAGAACCTTCAAAAATTCAGAATCGCAAGGCCTTGCATTTCTGGCTCCTCTGTGGTCTATGACGGCCCCTACGACCAATCGCTTCCTGACAAGCTTAGATGGGGCTTTCGGCTCTTCACGTTTAGCACCAGATCTCAGCTTTAAAGTTGGATGATGCGGCCAGCCGCAGCATATTACAAGACAAGCCGAGATGTGAAGTGGTGCAGTGAGTGTGAGTCTGTTGAGTTTGCAGGTTAACGGCTTTAAGAGTTTCTCCAGTTCTTGCATGCGAGGTTTAGGTTCGGAGCTAGGTCTGAATGATGAACGATTCAGGGATCTACAAGGGCTCCTTGGGCTCCTTTGAGGGTTCCTTTAAACAAGTTCCTATACAAGTGTATTTTTGCGCTTTGTGGTGATTAGGACTGAAGTATTTGAAGGCCACTCTGCCGATCAGAATGACCTGTGTAGCCTTTGGTCTTCGAGATCCCGCTTCCCGCGTTTTGCGTCATATCGTTTCAGAGCATTATCGGCGTCGGAATAATTGCCAATGCAATTCCTTGGGGTTCGTCATTTTGGTACAACCCCGAACCTTATTCTAAGTGTTTGTATGGGAAAAGCCGCCGCGGATTGCTTCGGAAGTGGGTGCTGGTGCGGTCTGATAGTAAGTATTTCTCATAACAGTAATAGTGAACATCATACTGACAGCAAGAACATCAACAATCGCAATAGTCGTAATAATGATGGAAGTAGTAAGAATAGTAGCACCAATAATAAGAATCATAACCATCAATAAGGTCCCCATATCGACCCCGAGGTCGGGACATCAAGGGTTCAGTGTGTTTAGTACTTTTGGGCTTATCAGGGTTTGGGAGTTTCGGGAAGTATGTTGAAGAAGACTTTTCCCCAGGAGCCCAGTACACTTACAGAGCAGGTTGCTGGATTATGGGTCCTGATAGGTCTATACGGGGTTTAAAGAACAGTATCTTCATTTAACATTGGCAGCTGTGATGAAGCTTTCACAGCAGCTGTTGAAGCTTCCTTGCTCCAAATAGCCCAAGGTAAACTTGAAACCTCCAAGAAGATTTGGAGTGATTATGCTTGGAACTGCAGCCTTTCTTCTCCTTAAAACCAAAGCCCAAAATCCCTAAAGCCAAAGTTGACCTAGTAAAGCCCTCCCGCCATGTTATGCAGGGATCACCAACGTCGATAATATCAGATCCCAGTACCATGTGGGTCAAAGATGGCATCCTCAACCCTATGGTCTGAAGAACTGACATCCTGAACTTGAGGGTTCAGCCGTTTTATGGTTATGTGGTGGAAACCCCGAACCTGAAACGTGAACGAAACCCCAACTCCCACCTCCTGAACCCTCCAGTCTAGCCTAAGCCTTGAAGCCCTAAAGCCTAAACCCTAATGTAGGCGTCGTAGTTAGAATAGGGTTTGGGGGTTTCCTTATAATAATCATACTGTAACATACCCCCCAACCCTCATTACACCAGGAATGTCTGGAGCTCCTCTACTTGTTTCGTGAAGGGCACAGGCCAAGCAGCTGGGTATTGGGTTTAGAGTTCAGAGTTTGGGGAATCCGAAGCACGCCAAGCAAGAATGCCCACGGCCCCTAAACCTCACTGTAGACCCTGGACGAACGGCATTCGACAAGAGGTTCCTACTGAAATCCTTGCAAAGCACAGGGGGGTCCGGCTGTCTGAATTTATATACATGTTGCTTTGGAAACCCTGAGTCCTGGAAACCAGTCGAAACACGAAAGCATGTCGTCCTTCAGCTTAAAGGTCTATACCAAGAAGGAGCATGCATCACTAGGG